AAAACCACCCTAAACCATGTTAAAAGACAAATTACAGAAAAAATAAATATATTGGCATAGTGTAATGGCAAATTGTTAATATCACTTGATCTTACAAGTAAGTTAGCAAAAGACACAATTAATAGAAAAATGGCCAAGGACTCCAGGGTTAGTTAATTCAGCAGCTCAGCAAAATCATCAAGGACCTAGGCTCTTTCTATCTTTATGCTCTTTTACCCTCAGTCTGCAGATTTGTCTTCACCTCCACTCTCCTCATGAGCACAAAATGGCTGCCACACATTCAGTTATCTCAGGAAGAGTTGAACTGATTTCACTGTGGTATTAGAGGTCAGCAGATCATGATCACCCAGTTCTGTTTCAAACCACATCATTAGGAGACAATCTGTGAAACTAGAATAGCTCTTCCAACTATTAAACTCGTTCATTCACAGCACCAGTGAGGTACACAAAATATAAAACTTCTATTATAAAAGAATCATGCCACAGACAAACCAGAAAGGGTTTGTAACACTGCAGAGCTCAATAGATATAGAGGCCTTGGGAGAATGTGGCTTTCTCCAAAGGGCTGCCCCACCCTCTCTCCATTCAACCTATCCCAAATTTCAAAAGCTGCTTGCTTGAGGACAGGTGATGTGTGAGAATTGGTCTTCTTGTTAAAAATTTCATTTTCCATTCCTTTGGAAAACCCTTTTAGGTCCTGTATGTTTTTTTTTAAAGCCATTCTAATAAGTGTGTAGTAATACCTCATCATGGTTTCCATTTGCATTCCCTAATAAAATAATGATGTTGAACGTCTTTTCATGTTTATTTGCTGTCTATATATGTTCTTTGGGGGATGTATGCCCACTTGTATGTCACTTTCTATTTTACATATCTTGTAAACTACTTTAAATCCTTCCTAGAATGAGACTATATTTTAAAATGCTATTTATACCCATGTACTTTACTGCATGTGGGAATAGACCATGTCATAGGTCAGGAAGGATTTTTATTTCCGTCTTAAAGGCTCATTAAAAATTAAAACAATTTGGCCAAGGTCACGTGGCTAGTAAACTGTGGAGAATGAACTAGAACTTAGGTGTGCTGACCGACAATGTACGCTCATTCCTCCATAGAGCCCTCCCCACCCTGCAATGCCATGATGGGGAGAGGGGCAGGTCACCAGCCCGTCTCATCAGTGCCCACATCACTCCACGGAATGCAGATGGCCTTTCGAGAGAGGATTATCTGCCAGCCTGTCAGGACACAACCAGATCCCCCTGGGAAGAAAGGTAGCTTTTCATTTATCCTCTTTTCTGTCATTATCTTTTCAGTAGGAAGGTGAGGTGATCAAGTACCCAAAGTGAATGAATGTCGCAGTCAGCTATTTTAATATTACATTAAGGGGGTGGCTCTTCATGTGGATACTCGGAATTTTTTGTGAGATAATGCCTCTTAGAAAAGTCTCTGAGAGGACCAGCACAGGTCACTAACAAAGGTCTGATCACAGATCACTGGCTTCCCATTACTGAAAATAGGCTGGGGAGTGGCATTCTAGACAGGAAGAGCAAGTGCAAAGTCCCTGAGGTAGAAACAAAGTTGGCATATTCAAGAAACAGAGGAGAGGGCTTGAGTGATGGAAGGAGAAGATCCGAGGTTTCAGCCAGGCCAATTAAATCTGAATTTCTTCGGGTGAGGTCTGGGAGTCCTGATTTCTTTCTACTTATTGTTTTAAATGGAGGTACTAGGGAGTGAACCCAGGACCACGTGCACACTAAACACACACTCTGCCACTGAGCTATACTGTCTCCCTTGATCTCTTTAAGCCCTCCTGGTGATTTTGATGCGTAGCCAGGGTTGACACCAGCAGTGGACCTTGCCATGGTCAGGAGTTTGGGTTTTATTCTAAGTGTGCTTGAGAACCAAAGGAGGGTTTTGAACAGGGGAATGACATGCTCTATCTTCTGCTATGTGCAGGAGGGACTGTAGGGGCCATGAAGATGTGGGGAGAGCAATTAGGAGGCTATTGCCGTTGTCCAGGCCAGAAAGGATGGTGCCCTGAACTAACATAAGAGTGAAGGTGCTGTGTGTTAAGGTAGGAGGGGGCTGAGACTCAGTGGGTCTGACAGGCAGTAGGAAGGATGGGGTTGGCCGAGGAGAAATGGGAGAAACCAGTGATGATTCCCAGGTTTTTGGCTTCAGCAGCTGGGTGATTGATGGTACTATTGACTGAGATGAAGAATATGTTTTTGTGGGGGGTGGAGGTGGTGAATGGAGAATACTGTTTTAGGTGTTAGCTTTGAGAAGCCTTATAGACACATGAAGTAGAGATTGCAAGAATGAGTCTCGGGCTTGGTGGCGATGTTGAGGTGAGAGATATGAATGTGGAAGTTGTGTTTAAAGCCATGGGATGGAAAGAGACCAAAGAGTGTAGAGGCAAGAGAGAATCCAGCACAGAACCACTTGGGGTCCACCATCAGGTCTCAAAGCGGGGCCCAGCTTAAGAAACGTAGCTGGTCCAGTAGAAAAATGAAGATAGTGTAGTACCCAGAGGTGGCAGGCAGGGAGATGGGTGTTTCTAGAAGAGAAAAGTCCCTTGTGTTAAGTGTGTTTGGGAGGCGGGGTCAGAGAAGGGCTCATTGGATTTGGCTAGAGGAGGTTTGGCTGCTGCGGGCACAGGCCACAGTGAATGAGAGGAGAGGAAGTCAGTGTAGACAGTAGGTGTAGACAATATGCTTGAGAAATTTTGCTGTGAGGGGAGCAAAGAAGTTAATAGGAGAGATAGCAGGAGATGGGTGAGGGGTTCAAGATACTAGATTTTTGTATGGTGATGAGACTGGTCCAGCAAAAAAGGGACATATTAATAACTGACAAGAGAAAAGGAACAATTGTTAGAATGAACTTGTTGAATGGCTGGAGGACTGAGTCCAGGGCATACTTGAAGGGGCCAGCTCTGATGGGACCAGGACCTTCTTCCACTTGGCATTTGGGAATGGGGGGCAGTTGACACGTAAAGAGAGCAACAGAAGCACGTGATTTGGAAATACATGGAAGATACCAAAAACAAAACAATAGTGAAAAGATTTGGAACACACCGTCTCTCAGAAGAGAGAAATGGATAGGCTGTTTTGTTTTATATATATATATATACACACACACACACATATCCAGAGAAATATATAATATACACACACACACACATATCCAGAGAAAACTCTGGAGATATATACACTCGCACACACACACACACATACACACACACATATATCCAGAGAAAACTCTAATTTGAAAAGACATGCACCCCAATGTTCATAAAAGCACTATTTACAATAGCCAAGACATGGAAGCAACCTAAATGTTCATTGACAGATGGTTGGATAAAGAAGTCGTGGTATATTTATACAGTGGAATACTACTCAGCCATAAAAAGAATGAGATGCCATTTGTAGCAACATGGATGGACTTAGAGATTATCATACTAAGTAAAATATACCAGAAAGAGAAAGACAAATACCATATAATATCACTTATATGTGGAATCTAAAAAATGACACAAATGAACTTATTTACAAAACAGAAACAGACTCAGACATAGAAAACAATCTTATGGTTACTGGAGGGGGAAAAGGTGGGGAGGGACAAATTGGAAGTTTGGCTTTTGCAGATACAAACTACTAGGTATAAAATAGATAAACAAGACCCTACCGTATATCACAGGGAACTATATCTAAAATCTTGTAGTAACCTATAATGAAAAAGAATAGGAAAAAGAATAGAAATGTGTGTGTGTGTATAACTGAATCACTGTTCTGTACAGCAGAGACTAATGCAGCATTATAAATCAACTATACTTTAAAAAAAACCTTATAACACTATTCAGTTACTTTATGGGCATGTGTAGTGGGGGTTGCATAGTAGGCACAAAAAAGGTATGTCTACATCTTAACTCCTGAAACCATGAATGTGACTTTTTTTAGAAAAAGGGTCTTTGCAGATGTAATTAAGGATCATGAGACAAGGTGATCCTGGATTATCCAGGTGAGCCTTAAATCAAATGCCTAGTATTCTTGTAAGACACAGAGGAGAGAAGAGGGGGTGTGTGAAGACAGAAGCAGAGATTGGAGTGAGGCAGCCACAGCCACAGGCCAAGAAGTGTCCAGAATCACCAGAAATGAGAAGAGGCAAGGGAGGATTTTTCTCTAGAGCCTTCCGTGGGAGCACGGCACTGTGGACACTTTGATTTTGGACCTCTGGCATCTAGAACTATCAGAGAATAAATTTCTGTTATTTTAAACCACACAGTTTGTGGTGATTTGTTACGGCAGCCCTAGGAACTGAATACTGCATGTGTAACTGAGATAAAATAAAAACAAGAAAAGTTACTGATGTTTTTCACCCATTGCTTAAAAGGGCAAACAACCAACAGAGGCTGAAAATGCAGTAGATGAAAGTCAACACTATTCATGATACCAAAAAACCCAAACTCTTAGCCAACTAGGAAGAGATGACGCCTTCCTTAACCTGATAAAGGACATCTAACAAAAACCTACGGCATCATACTTAGCAGTGAAACCATAGGTCATGAACAAGACACCATTAGTACTGCTTCTAGTCCCTCTTGTGCTAGATCCTCACCAGAGCAGAAAAGCAAACAAAAAAAGACAACTTCGGGGTACAGCAATGTTCAGTTGCTCCTGGGTCAGCAGGACTGAACCAGGAGAGACCAGAGGTCAGAAAATTGAGAGCAAGAAGCAAGAAAAGGCAGGCAGAGATGGCTGGTGTGCAGGTGTAGCAGAGTGAAGTCGGGGTCCCCAGCACCCCCAGGCCTGGGAAAGAAAGGATGTGGGGTTGTGGTGGCTCGGAGCTGACCGGGGAGGGGGGTGTCGGAGCTGAGGGGGGTGGTGCTCCTGGGGCAGTGATGCAGTGCTCATCCCCGCACCGAGCACAGGCATCTCCCCAGCCTCCTCCTCACAGGTGACGGCTTCCTCCAAGGCAGTCTCTACCTGTAAACATCTCCACTCAGTACAAAAAGCTTCAGCTTTTATTAAATAAAGAAGAGGTAGGAGACAGATACGGGAACAGGCCGGCAACCCCTCCTTCTAACTACATGTACACAGACATACAAACACAGACACACCTGAGGACATGACAAGGACAACTCAGGGGGCAGACTGAGGGGCTGAGGGAGGCAGCACCCTCCGAGAGTGGGCCTGGACCCAAGGGTGGGCCGAGACCTGGGCCAGCGGCAGCCGCTCTGAGGGGTTATGCTTGAGAAGCTTGGAGATGAGGTCCTGGGCTCCCGTGGGCATGGAACTGGGGAACTTCAGGTCCACCTGCAGAAGAAAAGGAGAAGGAAGGATCCCACTACTCTCATCCTGGCTGATTTTTCCTTCACTGCCCATTTTACTTGGAGTCATGTGAGCCCCACAACTATTCTTCTCACTCCCCACGCCTGGCTTCTGAGGCAGCATAACCCCCGCCAGACCCCTCGGGGCCAGCCTCCCACCTTGACGATGCGCCGATATGTCTCGTTGTGTGAAGCACTCTCGAAGGGTGGGTTTCCCACGAGCAGCTCATAGCAGAGTACTCCGATGCACCACAGATCCACCTTCTCATTGTGTGTGCGCCCCTCAATCATCTCTGGGGGCAGGTAGTCCAGGGTCCCACACATAGTCTTCCTCCTGGCGGGGGAGGTGAATGAGCAGGGATCCCAGATCCAGACTGTCTCTCCTTTCCCTGCAGCCTGACAGGGAGCCCAGAGACCCCAGGATGCACCAGGGGCGTGTTCCAACCAGGCTCCAACAGGGCCTCTGGGGCAGGAGCCAGGTGAAGACTCTAAAGCCCCAGGGGTGGGCTTACACACTGCCTCTTCATTTCCACACCATGGGCCGTATCTTAAAATAATCAGCTATGAGAGCAGTGCTCAACCTTAGAATTAAAGGAAAAGTCTCGAATGTCCATCAAGCACGTCCTACTTATATAAATCAGGTTACATCTCTACTACGCGATGTTATGAAGCCATTATAAATAATATGGAAGGTTTATCGCATATAAGACAAGAAGGTCCCAATGTGTCAAGTAAGAAATCTGGGTAACAAAACTGAGTCTCCTGTTTTTGTAACGATATTGCTGTGTCTATGTATTTGCATGAGGACAAACCCGAATGTCTCTGGGTAACAAGATCTAGAGTGGTTTTATTTTGAATGCCCCAGCCTCGCACCCAGGGCTGGCCTCCTAGCCCACCATACCTCAAGGAGGGCGCGTGCACAGACCAGCCAAAGTCGGCAATCTTCAGTTCTCCCTGAAGCCCCAAGAGCAGATTCTCTGGCTTTATGTCTCTGTGAATCACTTTCTTCCCATGGCAGTATATCAGAGCATCTGCCAGCTCCTCCATGATCTGGGAGGGCCAACGACAAGTAATCAGACAAGGACCGACCTCCAGGGCAAGCAGCCATACCCCCAGCCTCCAGCCCCCGCCAGTACCCCAGATGCCCACCGCCCCGACCGTGGCTGTTCGCTGCTCGTCAAAAGTGCGGCTTTTCTGCAGTTCCTTGTAGAGCTCCCCCCGAGGTGCATACTCCAGAATCAAGTAAATCCTTCGCCGGTCATAGAAATAGTTGTAGAGACGCAAGATGTTGGGATGCCTGAGAGAAGACAGAGAGGGCATCCGGCTGCATACTGGCATAAAGACATGAGAAAGATGATAGGTCCCACGGGGCAAACTGAGTCAGGCTTGGGCCAGGCAGGGGACAAGAGGCTGGCAGTGCTAAGCAGGAAGTAGAGGCGGATCTCTGCAGTCAAGGAGCTGGTGGGGATTGAGGGCTTATTGGGACTAAGTGGCCACAGCTGCCGAGAAGACAGTCTGGATGTGGTGGGGTTGGAAGAGGAGCTGGGGGTGAGGCAGCAGGGGGACTCTGGCTCAGAGGGCGTCGATCCGTACTGTAGATGGGCCTGGATTTCGATCTCCCTGCGAAGCTGGTGCTCCACGCCCTCCTTCTCTATCTGAGACTTGAAGAGGACCTTGAGCGCCACGATGAAACGGCTTTTCTTCTCCCGAGCCAAGTACACATTTCCAAACTTGCCTTTGCCCAGAGGACGCCCAATCTCAAAGTCATCAATTGTGAAGGAACGCCTGGTTAGAGTGAGGAGAGGGCAGCTGAGCACAGGTTCCTTGGTCCTGAGGTGTTTGCCTTCTCCCTGCACCTCAGTCCATCCTGCCCTCAGCCCCGTTTCTCTTCCAGGGGAGTTGAGGATGGATGGATCAGGCTTTCTTGCCTGCATCCCTGCTCCTCCTACCCTTAGCTTCTACCTCCCCCATTTCCTACCTGTTCATTGTCCCATTCCATCTCTTGCCATCCCAAGACTTGGGGTGCTTACATTGAGATGTTGGGGGTCTCACTGTTGTTCTCCATCACCTTCTGGCCAGGGGCACCTAAGGAAAGAACAGGGAAGTTGAGGCTATCCTTAGACATTTTCATCCCTGCACACTCCCCAAACCCTAGATCCTTCAGGTCAATCCCCTCCCCCTTTTCCCAGTTACCTATGGGCTGGGCATTGGAGCGGCTCATGAGGACAAGTGCAGATGGGGTGACAGGCTCCTTCCGGAGGACTCTCTGGGGCAGGGTGTTCAGGCAAGACTGAGCCTGAGAAGGAGCAGGGGGGAACTCTGAGGTGCCTTTATCCCAGTGACCGGGTTGGAATGCGCTGCAAGCAGCATTTCAGGACTTGCTGTAAAGCTTCCCACCCACCCACCCATCCCTAGTACAAAGAGGAACACTGAGACCACAATTTTGCTACTCAGCCCCAAGACTCTGCTCAGAGCCCCATAATAAAGTGAGTTATTAATAAACAACCTAAGTCGGCCAAGATGAGGAGCAAAGGACTTACACCAACATCTAATATCTCATCTCTTTGGCCCTGGCCCATAGTCCTGCCCATAACACCAGTCATTCAGCCAGTTCCCCCACCCCAGGGAGCAGCAGAGGCTGGGGTAATGAAAACCCACAATTCAAAGAGTCTTGGGGAAGGGTAGAGCTCAGTGGTAGAGTGCATGCCTAGCATGCATGAGATCCTGGGTTCAATCCCCAGTACCTTCACTAAATAAATACATAAACCTAATTACTTCCCTCTCAAAAAAAAAAAAAAAAAAAAAAAAAAAAGAAGAGTCTTGGCGCAGAGGTGTTCTCACGGTCCCCTAAAAAGTCCAGTCTTGGGGCCTTGAATGTTCAGTAGATCTCAGTATTTACCCCTTTGCAACAACTGGCTTTAGGGACACTGAGGGCTACCCTGATGGCCCTGGACCACGTCTGACTTTCAGCTTCTGAGTAATATATATGACATTCTTTTGGGAGTGACCAATGCAGACATGACAACGGTTTCTCATCTAGCCTCCACTATTGACAGCCTCATTCAGAGCTTCACCAGTGGGGAGCTGGTGGACAAGGGGACAGACGGACCCTCCAGGATACCCAAGCCCCACCAACAGGGAGCAAAGCCCATGAAGGGCTCCTCCTTTTTCCTTTAGCCAAGGAAGGAACCTCAGTGCCCCTACAGATCTGTTCCCAAACAGTGATATCAGTACGAAATTTACAAATAACTAAGTGGAACAAAATAGAGTCCAGAAATATATCCATATGTATGTGGGAATTTAATATATATATTAAAGGTAGCATTTCAAATCAGAGGGTAGACCCTTCAATGAATGGTATTGGGACACCTGGAAAATAAAGCTATTTAGATGCTTACTTCACACCAGTCATTAAAATAAATTCCAAATTCTTAAATTAGACTCGTGTTGGACCTTTTAAACTTATAAACTTATCTAAATCCTTCCAGAGTCTATTTCTATTTCTTGCCTAGCCTATTTTTTCAGGACAAGTGTTGAGAATCATGGCTTGAAGGCCAGATCCTGCTTGCTCAGCCCCAGATTTCACTTGTTTGTGACAAGTAGCCTGAACTCTGCAGAGGTCTTCACAGGCTGGTCAAATTCAAGTTGGCAGCACTTGACAACAATGTGGCTGCAAATGACCAAACTGGGTTCCACCAGAAAATTCTTGGGACCCATACGTTGGCGCATAACTGGGAAGAAAATGCTAGGAGGATCGCCCTCTGCAGGACCTCAAATTTGCAAGCAGGAACTCGCCATGCAGGGAGGGGAAGTGGGCTAGCCCTTACCGTCTGCCGGCCGTAGGGCCAGGGGTAGGTGTTCTCCTTCTGGGCCATCCTTAGAGGGAAAAGGGAAGGGAACTGGGCAGAGAAAAGAAACAGCTGTGAGAAGCAGAAAAAAGGGAGCGAGAGAGGGAGGGGTCAGACCGATCTAGCCGGAAGCGTTTGCCTGGGGCTGGTGAAACGGAGCAGGTCCAAACGCTGGCCGCCTCTAGGCGCATCCTGGCGCTCGCCTCGCTGCTACCGGCCCCACCCCTTTCTAGGACCCCTTTTCATCCTTGAGCGCCCAGCAGGAGCGCGGAGTGCGCTAAGGCCCGTCCAACGGACCCCCAACCTGCCTGATCACCTGCCTTCTCCCGGCGTAAGGCCCGCGAAAGGAGAACAGCTCACCTGGAACCCGTGGCACGGTCACCCTCCCTGGCCGTTGGGAAACAACTGAACCTGCCCGGCCGCACCTCCGCCGGGGCCCTTTCAAATCTCCCGCCCTGGCCCCATTGGCTGAGCGCACCGCCCATGCCCAATTCTCATTGGCTAGGTGTCCCATGACGTAGCCCGCGGGGCCCAATGGAAGAGGCGGAATGCGAGCCGCGGTGCGCTTGGGTTCCGGCTTAGGAAAGTTACCCTCATTCCCCCAAAATTCGCCTTAAAATTTTTTTTTAAATATTCAGTATGTCTGGAATTTATCCTTGTATGTGAACTAAGGTCTAACTTTGTTTTCTACCAGATGGAGAGCCATTTATGCCAGCATCATTTGTTAAACTATACCATTCCCAACGGAATTTAAATGCTCCCCTTGATGTATTAGTCACCATAGATACTTGGATCTATTTTTGGTTTTTCTTTCGTTTGTTTGTTTTTTTAATTTTATTATTTATTTACTTACTTATTTATTTTTATTTTTTACTTGAATCTATTTTTGAATTCTCTATTCTGTTATATTGTTCGTCCGTTTGCATGTGTATTTTTGTGTCATTACTATTTTGTTCTATAAAGTGTTTCTCTCACAATCAGAGTAGGAATTTTCCACCAGAGGACCTTTCTCTGCGGGCTCGCTGACCAAGATCGAATTGTTTGGACCTACTTTCACTTTTTTCCTTGCCACACTTTTTTTCTCTTTCCGAAGCCAAATTTCATTGTTGGGTTAAATAAATAAATTTGGGGGCCTTCTATGAAATAACTAGTGCAGCCTGGCCAGCACCCTTCCTCTTTCTTCTAATAATAACACCCTAACTTGGCTTTAGGGAACCACCAGTCTCCCCATTCTGTGTTGTCGGTATCTGTTGCTGCCAACCCCAAATCCCTAATTGGATGGAGACCTGTTGTATTGGACATTGTGGTTATCTAGGCAGCATCCATACTTCCAGCGATTCCCACTTCCTGAAAGCAACTAGAGTTTTGTGGGTCTGAGAGGGAAGCTGACCCCATCCCAGGCCCAGGAGTGGACCCTGACTGATTTACACCAGTCAACACCTTTTATTCTGGGATCATGGTCACTGGTTCAGGGATAAGCATGTAACCTAAGTGGGCCAGTTACTAGGAATTTTAGGATTCTTGCTCAGAATGCTGGACAGAAACTGCTTTTCTCTTCTAGAACTGGACAAAGAAGCAAACAGCCTGCATTGTTGTTGGTGGTGCTTCTGAAGGGGACACCCTGAGAATGAAGCTGACACTGCAGATGGCGAAAGAGAGGTCTGGAAAGAACCCGGGAACTTGATGACAACGTTGAACCTCCAGATGCCTATTTCAGCCAATTCCTTACATGAGCCAATAGGTCTCCTTCCCTAATGCATAGTCAAGAGTTATGTTAATTGCTGTCAAAAGCATACTAACTGACAGACATCCACAGCCCTACAAGGTTCTTAGTTATTTACCTTAAATGATGCAAAACTACTGATAGTCAATCATTTTAACCTACCAAAAATATCAACTTCATATGATTCAACCAAATGTAAATGAAATAAGTCCTAATGGATTTCTAGATCAGTTTATAATGCTTTTGCCTCTAAGTAACAGAAAACTCATTTAACAATGGCATAAAAAATTGACACCTGTTTCCTCTTACATAACAAGAAATCAGAAAGTAGTAGTTGGCTCAGGACCTGAACAATTTCAGAGGTCTGGCTTAGCCTCTCTGTGATTCTCTTATTTCTCTTATGACTGCAAGACGGCTGCCAATTGTCTCTGTCTCTTTTATCAGGAAAAGTAGAAGCCTTTCAAAAAGTTCCCAATTTCTCCTTGGCTAGAACTGTGTGTGTCACATGACTACTGCAAAAGAGTCTGGCCAAGTGAGTATCACTTCCAGCCGCTACAGTTAAAGCAGCAAGGGGTTGTGGTGGTAGAAATAGGTGTGTGCTACAGTTGCTTACAATTTCATGCTGGGGAGCCCTGATTAGTTTAAAAAGTCAGAGATCTGTGCATCATGAAGTATCTTCAGAGATTTGATAATCATGGCCACCCTGCTGCCATATCACAAAAAAAACATTTTGCTTTTGGAGGTACACTTTTTTTTTTTTTTTGCATGACTTGGACTGGCTGTTTTGGGGTGGGGGTAGGGAGAGGTAATTAGGGTTATTTATTTTTTAAGTAGAGGTACTGGGGATTGAACACAGGACCTCATGCATGCTGTGCTCACACTCTGCCACTGAGCTGTACCCCCCCCTTACACTGTTTTCACTTAGGGTCAGCCCAGCCCCACCTCCCAAGATCAGGGAGCCCATTTCAATGTCAGTGCCTTTACCAAAATATTTAGCATAGAGTGACTAGCCAATGAAGAGCTTTATAAAAATCCTATCACTTGCAGTATATTTTATTCCTCATAACCTAGTGAAGGAAGACAGAAAATTCTGAAAACTCTTAGGGGATGTAGTGCACAGGAGGGCTATGCCTGATAGCTCACATATGATATTTCTGTCTTCTGGAGTCTTTAAATTCTCACTTGCACATTATGTCTGAAGACAGTTGGCCTTTCAGGATTATTTGATGGACCAGCATAAAACCAAGATTTGCATTATTCATAAAACAAAGCAAAACAAAACCTATCTGTTCTAGCAACTAGGCAAATATCAGCTGCCTGCTAAAGTTAGTGAACAAAATCTTTGTTATTTACCCCAATGCTTCTCAAACGATCTGTAGGGAAAAACCCATCTCAGTTATTTTCCATCTATCCCAGATTGATAATTTATAAAAATACAGTAGAAATTAATTCCTTGAAAAATGAAATCTAAACAATATAAAAATTACAAGCCTACTTATTTTGTTACAATCAATATTTATAAAAGTAATCTGACAAATGCTGTAAGAGTTTTTAAATGCTTCACTCTCAACTTCTACACATATCCCAGACCTGAAAGAAACCATTCATGAAGTGGCACCAGTTCTGTGGACCACACTGAGTACCAGCAATCCACCCCCACAGCAACAAAAACAGTCCCACCCAAAACTGTGTTCTGTTCTCTCAACGTCCACTGACCTGCAGGGATTTCCCAGGTTTATAGTGAGGCAGGGGAGCAGTTTCCTCTGAGTGTGACTCTTTTCTTCTTTCCACTTGCTTTGCTTTTTGCCTCCTAGTTCATGTTGTGATTCTGGCTACTGGCCAAGGAACTTTGAGAGGGCTCTTTGAGGGGCGATGGTCACTATTCTATTCCCAGAGCTGAATTTTCAAGTGACTGGGAAGGGTCGGAATGTATCGTGTTCCAAGGTCAGGCAGGGTGGCTGGGATACTGTGATGGTTGTGAAGCACATATGTCAGTCCTTTTACTTCTGATAATGGAATATCCCCCAAAAGAAATGTCAAGGCATGGATTCTCATCATCAGCCAATAAACCCCTTCCAGGAATGAGGAGTAGCAGACTCAGAAGGGACTTGTTAGAGGAGCCTAGCCAGTACTCCCCATGTCTCCCCACTCACTTGTCCTCCTTAAGGTAAATCTGAGGCAATGCTGCTGAGCTAAGTAGGTGCGTCAAGACCTGGCTGCCTACCTCCATCCAGATGCCCCTTGAGCATCCCTAGGTCAAACATCATCACTGGGGTTTGCTCTTGGCTATTAGAGCCCAAGTGTTTGTCTTTGGTATACACAACAGTCCCTGCCGCTGTGACTGAGGCCTGAGGCCCTGTCCAGGTCCCTGTATGCATCCTCACAAATTGGATCAGCAGAAACAGGGCCCCCCACACGTAAATGGACAACAAGCTCCTACACTACACTTCTGACACATGGTAAAATATTTTACTGAAGTATACGTACAGAAAATGTACAGCTGCATCAATATTCACAAACTGAATCCCCCGGGTAACCAGCACTGAGATCAAGAAACAGACCACTTCTGGCACCCCAGGAGGATCCGCCAACCTTCTTTTCAAGTCACCCCTTTCCCTAGTGTCACCATTATCCCAACTTCTAACTTATACAGCAGTTCTGCCTGTTTTGAACTTTATGCAAATGGCATCTTACGATATATATTCTTTGATGTCTGACTTTTCTTATTTAACATTATGTTTGTGAGACTTACCCATTCTGTGGCTGTATGGATTTTTAAACATACATGAACATGATAACATTTACATGGGTTAGTTAAAAGTCAGTCTGTCACGGTGGAGTGGGGAAATACAACTTTTTTTTTTAAAGTAAGTCTCTCTACCAACCCAAATTGCCTCGTCTTCTACTTCCATCCCCAGAAGCAACCACTGGCTGGTTCTCATGTACCATTTCAGCACTTGTGTAACTATTATTCAGTTATTCAAATGTTAACATGTTTTGCTATACTTGCTTCTGATTTTTTTAATGAAATAAAAGACACACAGGTGAAGCCTCAGTATAACAATTTAAGAATTAGTCTATATATACACTTTCTCTATCATTTCCCCATTGCCTTTTTTTCTGACGCTCCTTTTAGATGTATAGCAGGGCTTCTAATTTAATCCTCCACAGCTTTTGGCTTGCATTTTCATATTTTTCAAATTTCTCTGTTCTCTGTTTTGAGTAAAGTCTTGAATTCTATTTTTGAAATAGCCAATTTGCTCTCAGAGTGTGCCCAGTTAATGTAAGATAGACTTACATTATTACATCTACCACTCATATGTAAGATTTCCAATTGGTCATTTGTCTATCCATACGATTTTATTTAATTTCCACTTTTGTTTCATGATTTGATTTTTTTTTAAGTGAAAGTACTCCTTCACTCATCTTTTTACATATCCTAATCACACCTACTCTAAGTTCTTTGTCAGACAGCTCCATAAACTTCTTTTCATCTAGAGTGAGCCCTTGTCCCCATGATTGTGCTCTAATCATGACATTTCTTCATATGTTTTAGGATTTGGGTTTGTAACGTCAGCTTGGATGAGAGATCTTTTTGTTCTTATTTTGTTTTCTCTCTCTT